CTGTGCATGGGGTTGCTATGAGTCGGTTCCGACTTGATGCACCTGACAACAACAACAACAATTATAATAAGATGAGTTCTACCTATATTAGATGTATTAAAGCACAAGAAAAGTAAGGCTTAACTTTTGTGGCTATTTCAGTTTAACCATATTATGATTATTTGTGGTTATTGCAAGTCTTTTAAAAAAATCAGTCCTTTTGAGAAAATAAGAATATGGTTTTATTATAACCACAAGATTGACAATTCAAACTCAGCAACTGTTCCTCGGAAATCCTATACAAAGTGGCTATGAGTCAGAACTAACTAGACAGGACTTAACAACAAACAATATTCTTTATAATCATAGTCATTTTTAATTGTTTTATATTTTGCATTTTTCTTAAAAAGGGGATGAGTGAGGCTTTCTTATTACCTTTAGAATCTGTAGGTAGGAGAATCTTTTCCATTATTAATATATTCTATGGAAAGATTTCCTCAGCTTCCTACTAATCCAGTTGTCTTCCAGTATAATTCTACGAATATGTAGGTTCTTTTGGAATTAGGAGAGGGAAGGTGACTGACAGGAAGGCTGTAAATCTCCTCAACTTCAACCGCAATTTTTAAATAGTGGGTTTTCGTGCAAGACATCTTGTAAAAATAAGGGTCGGTTGCTGAAAATATTCAAAAGTTGGACAATCTCTAATCTAGAGCAAGGTAGGTAGGTGTTCTACAGCACAATTCCCACATAGACTTTCACTCACTTAATAGAAAGTATATGTGAGTCACAATGCTAGGGGTAAAGAGTGAACTCAAGCCTTCATACCGATGTTGCTATTAAGTCGGCTCCAACTCCTAGCAACCCTGTATAGGGTTTCTGAGGAACAGCTGGTGACTTTGAACACCAACCTGAAGTTAGTTTAACACCAACCCAGTGCTTATCTTACTCCACCACACTAGGACTCCTGTAATATCGTTGTTGTTGTTGCTAAGTGCCATTGAGTCAGTTCCAACTCATAGCCACCCTGTATAGGGTTTCCGAAGAGCAGCTGGTGAGTTCGACCACCGACCTTGCAGTTCAAACCATTCCTGTGGTCCAGTGCTTTTCCTATAGCTCATACCATTTGAGAAAGTAACTTAAAAGATTTAAAGCCCAAGTAAATGATTAGCATGCCCACTTGTTCTCCCCCACTCATAATATTTCTTCCTTTGCCATGTTTTTTGCTCTTTCTCTTTCTTTGTTTCTTTGCCTGTGTGTTTTTACTCTAGTTCTCTAGGTAGGCATGAATATTCATTTAATCTTATTCTTGATGTTTAAGACTCAATTCATTGCCAGGTTTGTTCAAAGTTTTTGCAAGAATACTTTGCCTCAGTCAAGATAATATCTTCTCGAGGGACTCATGTGGCCAGAAATAATTACTTAACACTGGGGCTGGGATCCTTGTGTGGCCCTGTAGGATCTGCACTGCACTGCTAACCCAAGGCTGTTGATTCAAATCCACCAGCCACTCCGGAAAAACCCTATACTGTGATTCTGAGCTGACCAGAAGGCTCTTAACAACAAAACAACAACAGTTGTTGTTAAGTGCTGTCAAGTCGATTCCGACCCATTGCAACCCTATATTCGGTCTCCAAGGAGTAGCTGGTGAGCTTGAACTGCCACCTTACAGTTCAAACTGTGCTGCAGTCTGGCGCATTAACCCACAGCGCCACACCAGGACTCCCAACAACAAGTGTTCTTAAAAATGTCAGTTCTGCTCTAGGCACAATTTAGTTCTGGGAAACAAATTACAAGTAAAAGATAATTGACTTCATGACTATTTTAAATGCACTCAAAGTTTTAACCGTTGTCTCTCTGCCATAATTAAAAGACCATTGTTTTCTTTCAGATATAAGTTCAACTAATGATTTGGTAATGGGCAGCCTTAAGGCAGAAATTATAGATCTCTGATTATATGAGAGGGTTTCAGAAAGTTTGTGGCAAAATTCCAGTATCTTTTAATCTCATTTTTTCCACCAACTTTCTGAATCCCCTTTGTACATAATAAAATAATTCCTCCTGAACCTTTTTTAAAACTGTATTCCTAAGGTTTAAGAAAAATGTACAGCTACTGTTGATCTTTGACATGGCCATTTAACTTGCCTCATTAGGTTATAACTCGAAATGAGCTCATGCTTGAAGAGACTAGAAACACCATTACAGTTCCAGCCTCTTTCATGTTGAGAATGTTGGCTTCACTGAATCATATCCGAGCTGGTAAGAATTTTCTGCGTACTCTCAGCATCATTTTTGTATTTGAAAGGCATGTTATTACTTAAGAGCTACTTTAGCAGGAATTATAGTCCTTAACATCAGACAGTAAAGGCAATTAAATCTGAACCTGTGAACTCTTGATCTTAGCACAGTAATTTATTATCTCATGAACCAATTTATTGAAAACTGGTCACAATGAAAAGATTACAGCCACTTAGGAACTTTCATCAGCTGCTTTATTTTTTTTTCCCTCAATGAGAAAGATGATACGATAAACCTTAAGCTACAGTTGAATGCTGTCGAGTCAGTTCCGACTCATAGTAACCTTGTATAGGGTTTCCGAGGAGCAGCTGGTTATGCTTCCACCAACCTTGTGGTTAGCAGTTTAGTGCTTTTCCTACAGCGCAACACCAGAATTTTGTATTATAGGGAGTCCTGGTGTGGCACTGTGGGCTAATGCATCAGACTGCAAAGTTGTTAGAACTGCAAGGTCGGTGGTTCAAGCTCACCAACTGCTCCTCATAACCCTACACAGGGTCACTGTAGGTTGGAATCAACTCAGTGGCACTTCACAACAGCAACCCTTTAACAATTTGATCAAAATCAGTCATAGCCCAGAAAAACAGAAAGGTAATATGCTATGAAGAGGTTGAAACAGATACTAATGTGTTTTTTCCTCCTTTTTTTTTTTGTCTTAGATAATAGACTTAGGTTCAATATCATGTATACAAAATAGCATACATGACAACTGCTATTCGAAAAGAAATTGAATAATCTGTCTTCAAAACAATAGGAAAGGTCCAAATTTTGTTAGAAAGAAATTATGAGTCTGTATTTATCACTCATCATTGATTTCATAAATTTATTCATATGTAAGGTATTAGCTATTATTTAATAATAAAATTTATAGTGTGTCCATAATGTATCCTGGAATTACTCTAGTCATTTCAAGGATATAGCTTCCTGGTATGATGCTTTGGGCTAAAGTACTGGACCGCAAGGACAGTTTGAACCTCAAGGTCAGCAGTTCAAACTCACCAGCCGCTCCTTGGAAACCCTATACAGGGTCACTATGAGTCAGAACTGACTTGACAGCACTTAACAACAACAATCTTCATTTAACTCCAGCCCTTTACCTAGGACATTGTTTGTAATGACTTATTTGTATTGACTTACCCAACTGATAAAACAGTGAAGCAAGCCTAAATTGGAAATTGCCTTCCAACCCTTATTCTCCTTTGACCTAGAAATTTCACTCACAGGAATATATTCATGTCATTAATATGTCTTGCTAGCTTCTGGATGATCAGATCTAAAACTCCTTTTCTAATGCATTTACAGCACTTTATTTCTAAATACTCCATCCATTCTGGTACTCTTAGGATCTTTGAATCTATCAAATTCTTTTTTGTAATCATACTAGCCTTTCCCAGTCTCACTCTTTGTTAGAATGACTTCTACTTATACTCCAGAAACCGAGCTCAGTACCATCAAGTCGATTCCAGCTTATAGTCACCTTATACATAGGCTTTCCAAGGTTATAAATCTTTATGGGAGCAGAAAGCCTCAACTTTCTCCTGTGGCGTGACTGGTGGGTTTGAACTGCCGACCCTGCGGTTAGCAATCCAGTGCTTCTACAGCACCACGAGAGCTCTTTCAGGTCTATATAAGCAGTAACTTAAATATCATTTCCTCAGAGAGAGGAGGAATGGGGAGAGACATGTTCTAGGCAAAATAAACAACATGCATTGTTGCCTTAACAATTGAAATTGTAAATATTAGCTATTACCAGGGAAGAGTGAAATTTTTAAGTGGTCAAAACAAAAACGAACCTGAAATATAAACAGAAAAATGTTAATGGTTCAACAAAATATTTTTGCACTACTTCTTTGGGCTTCTGTGTTATTAGTCACAATAACATCTTTTGTTATTCACGTCAGTTCCTACTCACAGCATATTACTGCTGATACATGAAGGAATGAAGAGATACAAGAGCTGAACAGAAAATTTCAAAGGTCAGCTTGAGAAGCCAAAGTCAAATATTACAACAAAACGTGCAAAGATCTGGAGTCAGAAAACCAAAATGTAACAACACGCTCTGCATTTCTCAAGCTGGGAGAACTGAAGAAAAAATTCAAGCCTCGATTTTAATTATTGAAGGATTATCTGGTCAAATTATTGAAGGATGCAGAAAGCATCAAAAGAAGATGAAAGGAATACATTGAGTCACTGTACCAAAAGGACATGGTTGCTGTTCAACCGTTTCAGAGGTAGCATATGATCAAAAGCCAATGATACCGAAGGAAGAAGTCTAAGGTGCATTGAGGGAATTGGCAAAGAACAAGGCACCAGGAATTAATGGAATAAGAATTGCAGTCTTTCAAGAAAGTGAGGCGGCACAGGAGGCACTCGCTTATCTCTGCCAAGAAATTTGGAAGACAACTATCTGGCCAACTGATTGGAAGAGCGCCGTATTTGTGCCCATTCCAAAAAGAGGTGATTCAACAGAATGAGGAAATCATCAGACAATATCTTTGATATCCCATGCAAGTAAAGTTTTACTAAAGGTAATACAGAAACGGCTGCAAACATACATTGACTGAGAACTTCCAGAGGTTCAAGCTGGATTCAGAAGAGGCCATGGAATGAGAGATATCATTGCTGATGTCTGATGGATCTTGGCTGAAAGCAGAGACT